CACATGAACTCGTTTTGGGGGCTACAAGCAATTTTCCCTTTTTTATTTTTTTGGTAACTGAATGAATTTCCATTTACCAAATGAGCGTTAAGTACAGGTTTAAATCCAGGCATACCTGGGTATATACATCATGACTCAACAACAAACTCTATTGCAACCAATTTGGTCACCTCCCATTTACATCAGATACATAGGCAGCAACATGCGGGGAAAAAAACTTGGTTGAAACATGTCTCCCCTTGCATTTAGCGATCGTCCGAGTTCTAATCTGCGATCAGTTTATTGGATATGAGCTAACTACAACCCGTTGCATTATTTCCCGCCACACACAATTAGCAACAAGGCATTCAAACACGGGATGCTCCAAGATCTCATCCACTTGATTGCACAAGTGACACAAGTTATCATTTATAATCCGCATTCTAAGCAACCTGTCCTGTATGAGCAATCTTTTCCTCGTACCAAAGAGTGCTTGGGTACATTCAGAGGGGCCTACAAACCAACTGATGCCAAGTATATGAATCAGAATGTTGGGACATGACATTATAAGCCATAGGAATTATGAATTTCCCCCCATGACAGCATGCTGCTAGCATTTGCACACAAGAATCTATGCTTCCCCATCCTATAATCATTCTATTTTGACTTAAACCAATCTTTTTCCACTGGCAAGAGTCATTGGCTTTATATTGCACACCCCGAATGCTTATATTCATTAGATAGGTTCCATGCAAACATTTACTCCAGAGGGTGTCCTTTTTTGAGTGTATATCCGAGATTAATTATATGTAATAGCTGCTAAATTCCAACCCTCAGCACTACATAGTCCCAACCCTCCACAGTTATTTGGCCTACACGCGTGTATCCTTCAAACTCACTAATGTCGTTTTATGTCTCTCTTTTTTTCTTCACCCCACAGAAAATTCCTACAGATAGAACCAATTGAGTGAAGTACATTCTTTGGAAGTGGAAAAACCACTAGTCCAGAGCACTGAAATAGGACAGATCTCACCAAAGTAATCCTTCCAGCATAGGATAGATATCTATTATTCCAGCCAAGAATTTTCTATTTTATCCTATCCGCTAGACAATGGCAAACCCAAATATTTAGCTAGCAATTGAGCTTCCACAAAACCCAAGCCATTCAAGATAGCGAGCTTCAAATCTTCAGGCACACCTCCAAAACAGACATTACTCTTAGCTTCGTTGGCAACTAATCCTAACACACAAGCAAAGTGCTCTATAGCTTATTGTATACACTGAACTGTACTCCTGCCTCATTTTGAAAGTATCAACAAATCATTAACAAACATACTAGATTAGTTATCCCCGACTTTCTTGGACACGTCGCATGAAGCTCGTGCGCTCTGCCAGTAGCCAATCTATGTATCCGTCTAGACATATAATCCATGCACAAAACGAACAGGTAGGGAGATAATGGATCTCCCTGCCTGCGTCCTCTTTTACCACAAAAATACCTGTGGAGGGCACCATTATACATCAAAGAATATTTAACAGAGGTCACACATGTCCTGATCCGTTGAATAAATATGGATGGAAACTTCATGCCTTCAAGCACCCTAGAAAGGAATCACCAATTAATGGGGTCATATGCTTTCCTGATAGCAACTTTGAACATGGCCCTGGGTGAAATTGATTTCCTAGCATGGCGCTTAACCAAATCACGGGCTAGCAAGACATTATTAACCAGATTCCTACCTTTGATAAAAACAGAATGTGCATCACTTACAAGCCAATGCATAATTTGTTGCATTCTAGCAGTGAGAACTTTAGAGATGACTTTGTAACTAAAGTTGCAACCTAAGATTAGTCTGAAGTCACATATCTTGGTACCTTTTTGGACCTCAGGAATCAAAGTAATAGATGTAGTACTAATTTTCCCTAATAGCTTCCCACTGTCAAAGAATTCCAATACTGCATCTATGAGATCATCCCCCAAAATAGGCTAAGTATTCCTAAAGAAACTAGATGGGAACCCATCTGGATTAGGTGCTTTCGGTTCTGATATAGAGTAACAACATGAGTAGCTTCCTCCCTTGTAATAGGCTTGATCAGATTATTCTGCATATTGGTTGTAAGTAGAAAACCAAAACTCCAAACTCCTTCATCAAATGTCATGCACATTACCAGCAGAGCGAAGGAGCTTTTCATAATAATCCAGCATTTCAGAGGCAATATCTTGAGGTTTTGTCAATTTCCTTTCCTTATCATCATACAGGGCGAGTAGGAACTAGCATGATACCTTTTTTTTTAAAGAGACTGATGAAAAGATGAATTCTGGTCACCTTTCACAATCCGATCTATTTTGGTTTTTTGTTTGTAAAACAATGTCTCTGCATTTAGAAGTTCATTGAACTTTTGCATTTATCTCCTTCTCACTTGCATACAAGCATCATCACTTAGGTTCTGTTTCAACTTGTATTGAATTTCTTCAAGTTCACTATGACACATACGTAACTTTATTTGAAATGCAAGCAAAATATTTTCTGTTAGAACCCCTCAGCTCTTTTTTAAAAGCTTCATCTTTGATGTCAATACACACATCTTGCATCCTTCTTGTCTTTTGCTCCAAATCTTTCTGACCAGAGGAACAAAATTTTTATGATCACTAATTTTATTGGAAGAATCATATTAAACATGTACGCGTCTCTTGTTGCGTGCATTGTCAAAGGTTGTATTTGCCTGTGAATACTACGTACAAAGTATAGTTTATTCATATCTAAATAATAAGTCCATTCGACCAAAGATGATTAGATATTTACTGTGGATGGGGGGAAAATTATATTACACTCCATATAATACAAGCTCATTCTATGTATTTTGTCCTTTTATTATCCATTTTTCATTTGTTACTTTCTTTTTTATGAAAAATAACAATCAAAATTTGAATCTAACATCTTTGTCACAAAATTAATATCATATTTTTAGAGAAAGCGATACTATACAAGTGACAAAAGTTTGGCTTCTAAACGTAGAGATGAACTCAGTCAATTTGAATGTGAAATCATAACAATCTATCAATTCAATCCCGTGATATAAATAAGTTGAGTTCACTAATAAAATGGAACATCAAAGCTCTAAAGATGTAGTTTAGCTCGTTAACTTATTAGATAAGGGTAAAAATATCATTAACACTCATTATTTATTACGATACTTGTATGAAAAAATGGCCTTTTTTAAAATATAATGAAGATACCGAGTATTGAACGCAAGACCGTGACCTCCTAACCATCTTCACCCGTGATACTCAATAATAATTAAATTGTAATCTTACATCTTTACCACATAACTAGTTTGATATTTTCAGAGAAAACAATACTATACAGACGCCCGGCTTCAAAATCTAGAGAAGAACTCCATAAATTTGAGCACGAACGTAACAATTTGCTACCTCACATTTTCGATATCCAGAAAGTTTAGTTTCCTAATAATCGAACATTTGGGCAATGAAAGATTTCAAATCTAAGTTCAATATATTAAGCTCTAATTTAATTTAAAAAGAAAAACAAGAAAACAAGAAGAAGAAGAAAAATTTCAAATTAAATGTTAATTGACTTCGAACCCTCCCAGTCAAAAATAGTGGGTTGAAATGGATCTCTACGACTAGGTCAATATTTGAATAAGGAGCAGCGATACAAACCAAAATAACAAATTAACACGAAAATAGTCGTTTGACTCGTTAAATTCTCAATATTTTCACATGGGCCCCATTCTCTTTGTCCTATCCTTGCTATTTGCTACATCTTTCTGCCAAGCGTCATAACCCCTACCCCAATTTTCTCTTGCTTGTATTAGTTTCACTTGGACTTTAGAAAGCAAAGAGAGAGAGAGAGAGAGAGAGAGAGAGGCTATATAAGAAGAAACTGGGAAGAGAGAGAGAGAACCGAATCACGTTCAAAGAAGAAATTCATGGGCAAGTGGCTGATATTGCCATGTTTTGGAGGCAAAGTTGCTTCTTCTTCTTTGCCTTCTTGCTCAAGTACAGCAGATGAAGGTAACATACGTTAAATTTTCTAGCAATATTTGTGGATTAGAGTGAAATTGGGATTATGGTTATTCTGTGTAATTTTTAAATTTTGTTGGTTCTGTGTGATTCTGGTGGAGAACAGGTAGAAGTATTGTTAGGTACTCTTATAAGACTCTGAAGAGTGCAGCTCAGGGATTTCATGAGCGTTACAAGATTGGAGAGGGCGGATTTGGTTCTGTTTATAAGGTAACTATATGTCCTTTTAGTTCCCATTTTAGCCTATTTGGGTAGGGGGGGAAATTGTTAGTCTAAGTGTGTAGACCCAAAGCTGCAATCGAAAAGACGAAGAAAACAGTCAGAAGACTGTGCGGTCGACCGCAGTGGCAGATCCGGTCGACCGCGTGCACTGCAGGAGACTGAGAAGAAGTTTTCGCTCTGGTCGGTCGACCGGCGTGGCCGCTGCGGTCGACCGCAAATGTGCACAGGACCCTGTAAACAGATTTTTCTCTGGCCGGTCGACCGGCCTTGGCACGGCGGTCGACCGCGAATCGCCCAGACAGTTTCCTGATCTGTTTAGGAATCTGTTTCAACCAGGATTCTATATATACCCCCAAACGATTTTAGGGTTTGTACTACATCAAAAAAAGAGCTTTTTGACTGCAAAGAGAGAGAGAATCTCAGAGAGATTTACCCCTTGTTTGAGAGCTTGTATTTTCTTCTTCAATTAATAGAAAGATTGTGTGGTGTGGCTCCCGAGGACGTAGGCACGTTGCCGAACCTCGTTAAATCCGTGTGTTCATCTCCCTTACTGTTTTTTGCAAGTTAGATCTTTATTTGTGGTTTTATTCCTACTTTCCTACTTTCAACACAAGGTCCGGAAGGGCAAGGGTTCGATTGATTATTTCGAATTCCCCAACAACTGGTATCAGAGCTTCGTTCAGCAATTTGTGTGAAAGCCATGGCAGAGGAAAGCAAATCAAAGATTGAGAAGTTCGACGGATCGGATTTCGCCTACTGGAAGTCGCAGATGGAGGACTATCTGTACCAGAAGGACTTGTATCGCCCGCTTCTGGGCAAGGAAAAGGGAAAGAAGACGACGGAGTCAGATGGTGATTGGGAGGTACTGGATAGGAAGGCTCTAGGGCAAATCCGGTTGTCGCTCGCCAAATCAGTAGCCCACAATATTCTGAAGGAGAAGACGACGGTGGGGCTTATGGAAGCGCTCGCGAAGATGTACGAGCAACCGTCGGCAGCAAACAAGGTGCATCTAGTCAAAACTCTCTTCAACCTCAAGATGGCTGAAGGACGGTCCTTCACGATGAACCTCAGCGAGTTCAACACAATTGTTGATCAACTTATCTCCGTGAACATCATGTTCGATGACGAAGTGCAGGCCCTTCTACTACTATCGCAGTTGCCGGATAGTTGGGCAGGTTGTGTGACAGCAATCAACAATTTGGCGGGGAAAGAGAAGTTGAAGCTGAATGAGGTTGTTAGCATGATTCTATCCGAGGAGGTTAGAAGAAAATCGTCCGAATCAGAAGGTTCAGGTTCAGCCCTAAGTTTCGAGCAGAGAGGCAGAAGCCAGAAGAAAGGGAACCAGAACAGGAATCGGTCGAAATCAGCGAAGAAGATGCCGAACTCGAAGGTTAGGTCTATCAAATGGAAGTGTTGGAACTGCGGCCAGGAGGGTCATATGTCTTCGGTCTGTAAAGCACCAAAGAAGGATGCGGGTGAGCAGGAGGCTCATATCGTGCAGAATGCCTTGATCCTTGCTATGGACAGCGATTCGGATTCTTGGGTCATCGACTCAGGAGTCTCTTTTTACGCTCAGATAATGGTGGAGAATACGAGCTGGAGGAGTTCAAGAGGTTCTGTGCTACGAATGAGATTCGTTTAGAGATGACTACTCCAGGGACGCCGCAGCAGAACGGCATTGCAGAGAAGATGAACAGGACCTTGACAGAGCGTGCGCGGAGCATGCGATTACATGCAGGTCTGCCTAAGACATTTTGGGCGGATGCGGTGTATACGGCAGCATACCTTATTAATCACGGGTCATCAGTTCCATTAGATTTTGGGATTCCAGAGGAGGTTTGGAGTGGAAAGAAGATAAATCTCTCACACTTGCGGGTATTTGGTTGCGTGGCTTATGTTCATATCAGTGACCATGTCAGGGACAAGCTAGAAGCTAAGTCACAGAAGTGCACATTCATTGGATACGGCATTGATGAGTTCGGGTATCGCCTTTGGGATGAGAAGAACAGGAAGATCATCAGGAGTCGGGATGTGATATTCAATGAGGATGTGATGTACAAGGACAGGGACAATGCCAAGGATAGCCAAAGCAGTGGGAGCAGCACTACGGATACAGGTGGATCCGAGTACATGGATTTGGAGGAACTTCCAGATGGGGGCGACGATGTCAGTTCTGACCGTAGAACGGAGAAGACTACAGGTGCAGGAGCTATTACCCAGGGCGTGGAGCCTAGGAGGTCATCTAGGGTACCCAAACCAAATCCCAAATACCTCTCGTCACTTGATTATCTACTCTTAACAGATAGCGGAGAGCCGGAGTGTTATGAAGAGGCAGTGCAAGTGAGTGAATCTCAGCAGTGGGAGCATGCGATGCAGGAGGAGATGGATTCTCTACTCACTAATGAGACATGGGAGTTAGCCCAGCTACCTGCACAGAAGAAAGCCTTGCACAATAAATGGGTCTACCGGGTCAAGCAGGAGAGTGATGGAAGCAAGAGATTCAAGGCCAGATTAGTAGTGAAAGGGTTTCAACAGCGGGAAGGAGTTGACTACACGAAGATATTTTCCCCTGTTGTGAAACTCACAACCATCAGAGTGGTGTTGAGCTTGGTAGCTGCAGAAGACCTCTTCCTTGAGCAGTTAGATGTGAAGACTGCCTTTCTTCATGGTGACTTGGATGAAGAAATCTACATGAAGCAGCCTGTTGGCTTCATTGAAGAAGGAAAGGAAGAGATGGTGTGCAAGCTCAAGAAGAGCTTATATGGTTTGAAACAGGCTCCGAGACAGTGGTATAAGAAGTTTGATAACTTCATGCAGAACAATGGCTACAGAAGATGCAATTCGGATCATTGCTGTTATTTCAAAAGGTTCGAGTCCAGCTTCATTATTTTGTTATTATATGTTGATGACATGTTGGTAGCAGGACCGTGTTTAGAAGAGATAAACAGTTTGAAGAGGCAGCTAGCAAAGGAATTTGCAATGAAGGATCTGGGTGCAGCGAAGCAGATTCTAGGGATGCGAATCAGTAGGGATGAAGCTGAAGGGACATTGAGTTTGAGCCAAGCTGAATACATTGAGAAGGTACTTCAGAGGTTCAACATGCAGAATGCTAAAGTTGTTAGCACACCCCTTGGAAGTCAGTTCAAGTTATCTGAGGAGCAATCGCCTAAGACAGATGCAGATAGAGAGCATATGAGCAGGGTGCCATATTCTTCAGCCATTGGGAGTCTCATGTACGCGATGGTTTGCACGAGGCCGGACATCGCCCATGCAGTGGGAGTTGTGAGCAGATTTGCAAGCAATCCAGGAAAGCAGCATTGGGAGGCCGTAAAGTGGATAATGCGGTACTTGAGGGGAACAACGAACAAGCTCTCCCCTCACCGCCAAATTGGTAGTTTTCCATTTCTCCAAAATCAATTTATGAAAAAAATAGTTTTATAATACAAATTAATTATTGATATTTTCAATGTTTTGGTTGAATTTCATTTCCGGTCACAAGCATGGACAACATGTGGTTGTGCTAGTTGAGGACGCTCTAAAGCATAAATACAAAGATAAAAGAAAAGTTGACGTGGTGCTCTTTCTTGAACCGCAATATCATAGACGCTCATATTTGCTCGTCTCTACACTTTCTTTTATAAATAGTAATCTCGGTTTTGTCTTATTCATCTTTTTCATACCTATTTTCTATTGTGTTTCTTATTTGTTTGATCTTGATAAATGTTATAACCATCTCTCAAAAAATGTAAAAATAAAATTTTCACACCTTGAATTTATTCATACTTGCCTTGATATTCACCAAGTATTAACCATTATGTCTCAAGAAGTACATGGACAATTGTTATCTTGATGAACTTGCTTGACATTCACCAACAAGCAGGGGGCGGTACATGATTATTTTTGGCATCATTAATTTGTTAGTCTAAGTGTGTAGACCCAAAGCTGCAATCGAAAAGACGAAGAAAACAGTCAGAAGACTGTGCGGTCGACCGCAGTGGCAGAGCCGGTCGACCGCGTGCACTGCAGGAGACTGAGAAGAAGTTTTCGCTCTGGTCGGTCGACCGGCGTGGCCGCTGCGGTCGACCGCAAATGTGCACAGGACCCTGTAAACACCTTTTTCTCTGGCCGGTCGACCGGCCTTGGCACGGCGGTCGACCGCGAATCGCCCAGACAGTTTCCTGATCTGTTTAGGAATCTGTTTCAACCAGGATTCTATATATACCCCCAAACGATTTTAGGGTTTGTACTACATCAAAAAGAGAGCTTTTTGGCTGCAAAGAGAGAGAGAATCTCAGAGAGATTTACCCCTTGTTTGAGAGCTTGTATTTTCTTCTTCAATTAATAAAAAGATTGTGTGGTGTGGCTCCCGAGGACGTAGGCACGTTGCCGAACCTCGTTAAATCCGTGTGTTCATCTCCCTTACTGTTTTTTGCAAGTTAGATCTTTATTTGTGGTTTTATTCCTACTTTCCTACTTTCAACACAAGGTCCGGAAGGGCAATGGTTCGATTGATTGTTTCGAATTCCCCAACAGAAATAGGAAAAGAACAAAAAAAAAAAAAACTAATTAAGTATTGAATCTCTTCGTAGTTACATGACGTACGTCTATACAATTGTTACAAACAAACTCTATTTGTCTGCTAGAGATTAACTTCATCATGTAACATACCGTATTACTGTAATACTTGGTTTTAATATGAAGCCATGTGCGGATAAGTTCCTTCTTAATTTCTCGAGTAAATTCCTCGAAAACATTCCAATTGCTAAACTACAATATTAATTATCATAATTTAGAATCCAATACAAATCCTTAATATATGCCATTGCTTACCTATGTTCTTGAAAATAGATGTAGCTCAAGTCACACTTGACACATCTTCTTTACTTCGTATTTTGCACAGAATTAAAGATTGTCACATAACAATTTTTTTATTGCTTTTCTCCAGGGAAAACTTGAGAATGGGGCGGTTGTTGCAATTAAAGTTCTTTCAGCTAAATCTATGCAAGGAGAAAGGGAATTTTTAGCTGAAATTGAGTCGATGACAAACGCTAGACACGAAAATCTTTTAAGGCTTCGTGGTTATTGTGTCCAAGGGGTCAACAGAATACTAGTCTATGAATATATGGAGAAGAACAGTCTAGCTCAAACCTTACTAAGTAATTTTCTGCTCTTGATCCAGTTACCAACTTTTCCATGTATTTATAATTTTTTGTTCTATACATATACAGGTGGAAGGCGTAGCAATGATATTAATTTCACTTGGGCAGCGCGAAGAAAAGTAATATTAGGAATTGCGCGGGGTCTTGCATACCTACATGACGAGGTTAAGCCTCATATCATTCATCGGGATATTAAACCTAGTAATATACTTCTTGACTCCGACCTCAGTCCAAAAATTTCGGATTTTGGTCTTGCGAAGCTTTTCCCCGATAACGTGACACATATTAGCACCCGTGTTGCTGGGACAGTGTGAGTTCTACGAACATATATATGCTCGTGTCATAAATCTCTTATTAATTATTGGATTTTCTTCTGATGTTAATATTTGATTTTAAACAATGAATTGAAGAGGTTATCTTGCTCCGGAGTATGCTAGATGTGGAAAGCTAACAATAAAATCGGATGTCTATAGTTTTGGGGTGTTGCTTCTTGAAATTGTTAGTGGAGGAAGCTCTAAGAACTATGCACTTGGGCTTGAAGAATACCGTATAGTGGAGAAGGTAAATACTCAATATGCATCGGCTTTGCGGTTTCATGGAATTCTTGGTTTGCTAGTTCGTTTAAGATGATAGCAATAGCTTCTAGGCTTTTGGTTATATTAGCCCCCCAAATCTTCATACTTCTAAATTAGACCCCATACTCTTTGTTACTTTATGACAAGTGGAAAAGTGCAAACCGTAATTATCTAGAACTAGTCAAAGAATTTGATGTGAACTCCATGTGAAAGGATTGTACTAGGAAAAACGCACATATAGTTTCAAACTAATGTAAAATGACGTGCATCTCAAAACCTTCAGAAGCGTAAATTACGGTGCTATTTATGAACAAGAGAGGACAAGGGATGGGGGGCACAAGAGATGGTGGACACCCCATGCCCACCATGCTCCCCATGCCCATTGCCCATGCTCACCCATGCTCTCTTGTCCCCTCTTCTTTGGCTATAAATAGAAGGGAGGAAGAGAGGAGAAGGGGTGGAGGAAGAAAAAAAAGAGTGGGAGTTAGAGAGATTTTCAAGAGAGAAAATTCAGAGAGAGAGATAGCTTGTGAGTTGTACAAGTGGAAGTCGGTATTCTCCTCATAGTGAAATCCTCCCTTACCCCCTCCCATGGACGTAGGCAAGTTTGGCGAAGCACGTAAATCTCGTGTCTGTATTGTCTTAATTGTGTATTTGTCATTGCTTGTATGTGCCCTCGATAAGTCAGTCCTAGAACTGATGAGAGGAATAGTGTATATCTCACTTTGTTGAGATATTTTATTTTATATTCTTGTTTCCTTCGTGAAACACGAATATAGAGGTTGGCTGTGCTTTTGTGACAACAAAATCTAGGGCGCTCTCTCAGGTGATATCGCTTCCGCGGCGTGAGGGCGTGACTCTGCGCCCAACAATTGGTATTAGAGTCCTTAATCAGATTGGTGGTGGTAGAACTTCCGATTTGAGGTGGTTCTTGGTTATTGTGTGATAAAACACAAAGTATTTGTTGTAATTCCTGAGAGAATCAGTTTTATTAATACAAGCGGAAAATGGCGTCTACAAATAAAACAGTTAAAATTGGAAAGTACGAGATTAAAAAATTCAATGGGAAGAATGATTTTTCCTATTGAAGGATGCAGATGAAAAATTCGTTGATTTCACAGAAATTGCACAAAGCTTTGACGGGAAAAGAAAAGAAGCACAAGGATATGTCTGATGAGGATTGGGAGGAGCTGGATCTGGAAGCACGTGCGTCGATTATCCTTTGTCTTGAAAGGGATGTAGATTTCTTGGTAGATGGAGAGGAAACGGCTGCGGGCGTGTAGTTAAAGTTAGAAAGCATCTTCATGACAAAGAATCTAACGAACCGGATCTATTTAAAATCCAAATTGTATACTTGCAAGATGGAGGAGGGCTCGTCAATTCGGGAGTACATCAACAACTTTGATAGGATCTTATCGGATTTGAAAGACATTGAAGTAACAGTGGAAGACGAGGATCAAATACTTCTACTACTTCTATCTTTGCCAAAGACTTAAGAGAATCTGGTTCAAACACTGATGCTTGTGGGTAACAGTTTGTCGATGGATGAGACTAGAACGATGTTTCTAACGGGTGATCTTTGAAAAATTACAACCAGTGATATGGCCACTGGTGGTAACTGTTTGCGGTGAAAGTTGATGTTTCCATTGTTATCGAATCTATTACAACTTTAGTCGTTACAATAAACTCGAATAAAATAAAAAGTCGATCTTTTTATAAGATCTCCTTACACAATGAAAATAAAAAGTTTACAACTTTATCAAACAAACGCAGAGATCGTTTATCGGTCTTCTGCTTGCGTGTGTGTCTTTGCCTGTGCCGGGGTTTATCCGTGGACCACCGTCGATCAGATCTGATTGCTGAAAAATTGGGCAGAGCTTCGTCTATCCGCGAAGGGATCGAGAAAACTGTAGCGCCTATCTCGATAAAAGCGAGATATTTGCTCTTCTTAGTATTACCACAACAGGATAATACTAAGGATTGGGTGCGGGTGATGTAGATCTGACGAAGAGGGGTGTCTCGAAAAATCCAAGACACCCTTGGGGTGTCTCGGAAAATCCGAGACACCCCTGGGGTGTCTCACATTGGCCGAGACACTCCGTTGAGGTGCATTCGTCCGCTTCCGCTGTAAATTCTTCGTCCGAACTTGGATTTTAGTGATTTAAAGTGCGTTGGAAGTCTGACGAAGAGTTCTATCAGCTCCAATGGTTGGATTATCTGTAGAATAAACGAGACACGAAGGGCGTTGTTCTTTTTGTAATATCGCGGGACTCTCGATTAGCCCGTACCTTCGTTATTCCGAAATTCTGTCGGCTCACGTAGTTCGTCGATTCACTTCAAGCGTTCACCGACGTCAATCAAACTCCTGTGAACCGGATAGTGATGTTCATCGTCGTTCCTTAACACTGAGCTGTTCGTAGAGACCTATAGGCAATTTTCGATGCCTACAGCTGTCTATTTGGAAGGATTAAAAAGATTAATATAAGTTTAAATTCCTAAAAAATAAATTATAAATAATTTTATAATTGTAAATATAAGTTTAATATAATTAAAAAGATAAGGCACCGTTTGGCAAAGAGTTAAGTGAGGGGTTAAGTCGGCGCTGCGTTTATCGCTTGGCCGTCGTCGGAGTCTCGAGTCTACAGCTGATGAATTGAGTTTGGCTCGTGTCATTGAGTTGACTTTGAACTACCTCCGTCACATTGTGTTGACTTAGGGTTTCAGATCACCTTATGTTGACTTTTTGTCGCAACGCGTTGACTGGCGTTGACCTAGGGTTACGTGTTGACCGGCGTTGACCCTAGGGTTTCGAGCGTCGAACTTTGACTTTTTGGTCGCAACGCGTTGACTGGCGTTGACCTAGGGTTACGCGTTGACCGGCGTTGATCCTAGGGTTTCGAACGTCGAACGTTGACTTTTTGGTCGCAACGCGTTGACTGGCGTTGACCTAGGGTTAAGCGTTGACCGGCGTTGACCCTAGGGTTTTGAACGTCGTACGTTGACACAGTTTATACTCGTACGATTACTGGAGTATACACAGTTTAAGCTCTTAAGGTATTGGAGCACAGTGGTCCCAAGTGTCGGGGTTGCAGGACCAACTGTTAAAGCTGATTCATCTGCATTTGTTGCAACGTGTTGCTTGGCGTTGACCTAGGGCTACGCGTTGACCGGCGTCCACCCTAGGGTTTCGAATCGTCGAACGTTGACTTTGGTTGCAACGCGTTGACTGGCGTTGACCTAGGGTTACGCGTTGACCGGCGTTGACCCTTAGGGTTTGAATCGTCGAACGTTGACTTTTGTTGCAACGCGTTGCTTGGCGTTGACCTAGGGTTACGCGTTGACCGGCGTTGACCCTAGGGTTTACGGATCGCCATTAACACAGTTTATACTCGTACGTTTGCTGGAGTATACACAGTTTAAGCTCTTAAGGTATTGGAGCATCGCGGTCCCGAATGTTGGGGTTGCAGGACCAACTGTTAAAGTTGATTCATCTGCATGTGTGGATTTTATCCTGAATTTGTTGGGTGCTCAAGTCACGAGACCAACTAGTGGAGTTGATGCGTCAATGACTCGCAGTTATAGAATTTTTGGCAAATCCTCAGCCATCAACGGATTTGACAAGCCTTTACCGACTACCGTTTGAGTCGGGCTAGCATGCGGATTGTTTAAGTCCGTTCCGCATGTGACGTTGTGCTAAGAGAGTTAACGCTCTTAGTGCTACGATATTGAATACGTAGACTTCGTCTTTCTCACGGGAATAGACTACCCGGCGACGCGTGTTAGGCGTTGACTTTAGGATTTTTGGCTAATCCCCAGCCTTCAACGGATTTGATTAGCCTTTACCGACTACCGTTTGAGTCGGGCTAGCATGCGGATTGTTTAAGTCCGCTCCTATGTGACGTTTAAGCTAAAAGAGTTAACCCTTTTAGTGCTACGATATTGAATACGTAGACTTCGTCTTTCTCACGGGAATAGCTAAACCGGCAACGCGTGTTAGGCGTTGACTTATCCCTGCTTAGGCTTCGGGATAAAATTCCCCGTGCGTGTGAGGCACGGATTATGATGTTATTAATAACAACCTGCCACAATGTTGAATATGCGGTCTTTTGCCCTTTTTACGGTTAAAGACTAACAAGCAATGCGTGTCAGACATAGACTTTGGGATTTTTGGCAAACCCCCAGCCATCAACGGGTTTGACGTGCCTTTACCGATTACCGTTTGAATCGGGCTAGCATGTGAATTATTAAAACCCGTTTCACATGTAACGTTGTGCTAAGAGAATTGCTTCTCTTAGACTTAATGCTATGATTTTGAATACATAGACTTCGTCTTTCTCACGGGAATAGACTACCCGGCAACGCGTGTTAGGCGTTGACTTATCCCTACTCAGGCTTCGGGATAAAATTCCCCGTGCATCGAGTGCCCGGATTTGACAATCGTGTCTTTTCTAAAAGCAAAGACAGATTGAGAAACGGGAGAGGAAGAATTTTATATTCTATCTCCCGGTGCTGAAGAGGAAGAATTTTATATTCTATCTACAGCTGGAAAGGGAACTTGAGGTGGGATCCCCCACCCCCAGAATCCGGAATGATGAACTGGGAGTGGGTTCTCCACTCCGAGCATCGGAAAGGTCCGAGGAGAGGAAGAATTTTATATTCTATCTCCCGGTGCTGAAGAGGAAGAATTTTATATTCTATCTACAGCTGGAAAGGAAACTCGAGGTGGGATCTCCACCCCCAGAATCCGGAAGGATGAAACTAAGAGTGGGATCTCCACTCCGAGAATCGAAAAAGTTCAAACGGCCCTAACTTTTATAGGATTGGTCATTTGAATCAAAAGAATCCCTCATTTATTGAGGAGAAAGCCCAATTTCGACCCTAACTTTTATAGGTTTGGTGGAAAAAGGAACAAAGGCGGATTTTCGTTTATCGAAAAGGAATGACTTGGTCTCAGTCCTAACTACTTGTAGGCTTGACTAAGTGAGA